TTAATGAGAAAGTTAGAAATTATTTATGGAGAATGAAATGCAGATCATCATTGCAGTTTTCATCAAAAGTACTGAATATTTGACAGCCTGGTATTCTTTATCAGACTGGAAAACAGTTTTCAGACATAGGAGGATGTGGGGGGTGTGCTTTCTGTGTATGTTTTTTGACATGAATTTACCAGAGAATATACTTTAGAAAAATTAGAAAGGGACAACAAGAAGGGGATATCATAGACCCTAAAAAAAGAGAGGAAAAGAGAAAAAGGAAGGCTGTAGCAAGTCCAGGAAATAGATGGTCAGGAGGAAACAAGGGCGCAAAGGGCGGGATGTGCATATTGGACAGGAGTGATCTTGCTCTCCACCTTTAGGTCGATTCCAAGGACCCAGCTTAGGTCCTCAGGCTTGCTTGGCAAGTTTTTTAACCCCACTGATCCAACAAGCAGCCCTTAAAGTGTTTGTTTGTTTGTTTTTATTTGTTGAAGCAGTTGTTTGATCTTACCTAAATGGTAAAAATTTAGCAAATACAGTTTAAACAGAGTTAAGGTTATAACTATAAAAACTGAATTCTTGTGTTGGTATCATATTGATCAAAGAAAATCTGCCATTGTTTTTTGAACTTTTAGACAATTAAATGTGCTACCACTGTGTGTGTGTGTGTGTGTGTGTGTGTGTGTGTGTGTGTGTGTGTGTGTGTGTGGTATACACATATGGTATTTATTAGAACCATATGAATAAACAGTGTAGATACTATATAAGCAAATGGGTAAGAGAAGGATTTGCTTGGAGTTAATTTCCATTCTATTAATTGTCTGTTAACCTTGTGATACTCTTTTTTTATAAAAAATAGATGGGCCAGAAAGATGGCTCAGAGATTAAGAGAACACAGTACTCTTGCAGAGAACCCAGGGTCAGTTCCCAATATTCAGACTGGGTGCCTACAAGCACCTATAACTGCAGCTTCAGGGGATCTAAAATATACACATGCTCACACATACATACACAGAGTTAACAATACTAAAAATTCATCTTTAAAGGCGTTGGTTGCGCATGCCTTTAATCCCAGCACTCGGGAGGCAGAGGCAGGCGGATCTCTGTGAGTTCGAGGCCAGTCTGGTCTACAGAGTGAGTTCCAGGACAGCCTCCAAAACAATACAGAGAAACCCTGTTTCGAAAAACCTAAAAAAAAAAAAAAAAAAAAAAAAAAAAAAAGATAGCCGGGTGGTGGTGGCACATTCCTTTAATCCCAGCACCCAGGAGGCAGAGTTTGAGGTCAGAGTTCCAGGAGGGCCAGGGCTACACAGAGAAACCCTGTCTGGTATCCCTGCCCATCCCCCAAAAATAAACTAGATAATGAATAAAAATAGTAAGATAAAATAAAATTCGAGAATTCATATTTCCATGAATATGTGTAAGTTGTCTCTGGAAAATATTGCTGATTGGCCATATTGTTAATCACCAAGTAATTGGTCAATTTAAATATGTTCTATAGCCCGTAACTTTGTTGATTAGTCCTTTTGAATTTAGACCATTTTACAAGTCATGTTACCAACGGGTAATTCAGTTTTCAGGCTAGCTCAAAAACTTTTTAAAAACAGGTTATTTTAGTATTGCTTTGAAATTTTGTTCTTATCTAAGCTTGTTTTGGTTGTTTTGTTTTTGTTTTTTGAGAAAGGGTTTCTCTGTGTAATAGCTGTGGCTGTCCTGGAACTCTCTCTGTAGACCAGGCTGGTCTCAAACACACAGAGATCCACCTGCCTCTGCCTCTTGAGTGCTGGGATTACAGGTGTGCTCCATAACCACTTGGCTTTTAAGTACTTTTTATAGCATGATTTCAATGCAAAATCTCATTTTAATGAAGAATAGCAGGTTTTACCTTCTTTCATGTATATCTGGAGTTAGATTGACCTATAGGCATTAAAAAAGTTCGGGTGCTGAAAAAGTGGCAAAGAATTTTCTATGCATTAATATTTTAATATGTGACAAAAGATAAAGCTCACTAGGGTTCCACCACACATAACTAAAAAGCATTTCCTATAGTTATTCCATCCACAAATCAGTCTTTCTGAATTGGAAACATGAATTTTGCTCTTTTCCATTTTATATTACCCAGACGAGTGGCCAGCTTCTTAATGCTCAGTACTATAATTAGGATTTATACTTCAAAATTATTGTTAATATTTTGAATGTAAATATTAAGACTTGTTGATAACTTTGATAGTATCGTGATTTTCTTATTTTTCTGTGGAAAGACAATGTGCTTTATACATATATATATATACACACACACATATATATATATATATGACTAGTTATTTGGTTTCTGTTTCTCAAAAGCTAATTTCCAAGTTTGGAGCCAGTTTTTAGGGTGCCATAAAGCTGTCTTCCATGACAGTATTCTAGCCTGACTGCTTTTTGAAGGAAGGCATCATGAGAAGATTGCTTCTGTTATCGGCCCCTTTATGAAGATGTTGGAAACTGATTTGAGGGCAGGAATGGGAGGACTAGATACTGTTACTTTAAAGTAATAAAAGTAAAATTCTCAGTGTTTTAATATTAATATATGTTTGTGAGTAAAGAGGAAATAGAAAACCCTAAAATAAGTAATCTACCTCACATTATATCACTCTCATAGGAAAATAACTTAACTTTTGTTCTGATACTCTTTTGTCCAGATAGGTAAGTTTACTCAGCATTTTTTATTTATTTATTTATTGGTGGTAATGGGTATTGAACACAGGGCCTTCGACATATCACCTCCTGCCTTTAGTATTTGATCCAGATTAGCGCACGCCTTTAATCCCAGCACTCGGGAGGCAGAGGCAGGCGGATCTCTGTGAGTTCGAGGCCAGCCTAGTCTACAAGAGCTAGTTCCAGGATAGCCTCCAAAGCCACAGAGAAACCCTGTTTCGAAAAAAACCAAAAAAAAAAAAAAAGAAAAAGAAAATTACAACTTTTTAACCTGTTGTAATACTTTGTTAAGAATCTTACAAAATTTGCCAGGTAGTGGTAGTGCTTTTAATCAAACACTTGGGTGGCAGAGGCAGGTGGACCTCTGAGTCAAGGCCAGCCTGATTTACAGAGCTAGTTTCAGGACAGCCAAGGCTACACAAAGAAACCCTGTCTCAAAAAAAAGAAGAAGAAAGAAAAGAAAAAAGAATCTTACAAAACTTTTAATTCGTGTATGTTGTTCACACAAGAACAATAAAAACTCCACTGAGCCTACTACAGTTATTTGATGACCATCTTTCCAGTATTTTAAAGTAAGACTCATCCTTTGAGATCTCTCCCTGAGGGTTTTCTCATTTTCCTTGAGTGGGGAAAGTTCTGAGAAATCAAGCCCCAAGATCCTTTCCTCTTGATCAGTAGGCTGCTAGCTGCTTTTCAACTCAATAGTGTGTTTAAGACTGCTAAATGAGCCAGGCTTTGGTGGGGGATGCACTCGGGAGGCAGAAGCTGACAGATCTCTGTGAGTTCAAGGCCAGCCTGGTCTACAGATCGAGTTCCAGGACAGCCTCCAAAACAATACAGAGAAACCCTGTCTCGAACCCCCCCTCCAAAAAAAAGACTGCTAAATGAATTCTTTCCTTTAGGGTGATACCAACAACAGGAACCATAGGGCAACTGGAGTAGCATTGTTCTGAGCATGTATGAACATAAGCACATGTGTAACATATACATACTTCTTTAAGGATATGCTTGATTTCTTCACCACTTTGTTTCTTGTTAAGGGTTTATTTTCCTTTAGTTTTACCTAAAGAAAACCCTGGATCTCTAAAGAAAACTTACTTGTACTATTATTTATTACAAGAAGAATTGCCTAAGATGGAAAATGATTATGATTTGTCTGAACTCATTGCAGCCTAAACCCAGAAAAAAGTAAATGTACACATTACAAAATTGATGTCCATACCATAATCAAATTTCAAAGATTGTGGGTTTTTTTTTTTACCATTCAGACTTAATGAAGAATTCAAATACATTTTTCTAAAATGAAAACTTTCTTTTTCAGTTAACTTTGGAAATGGTGAGAGGATATGTTGAAAAATGCAAGTTTTTATGTAGCTGGTACTTTTCTGAATCCAGCTGAAAGCCATGCTTTTCCGTGGTTTGTAAATGCAAATGTAGTTCTGTGTAGTTGTCTGGTCTTCCAAGTTTGTGGCATTCTGTGTAAGGAACTGTGTCTTTACTAATACATTTCATGTTAACACTGCTTTCACTTGAAATAACATTTTCAGACACTTAATATTTGACCTAGAATGAGAGAGGAAAAGTTAAAAAATACTTTGGATGTATATCACTTTCTAAAGAGTACTGCACTATACTGCTGATTTCTGGACAAACATTATTGAAAGTACAAGTTTTTGTTGTACTTTCAAAATAAATGTCAGGCAAAATTTTACTTTGTAAACTAATTTACCTAGCAAGGTCGAATTTTATTGGTTTGCTTACTTTAAATTGTTATGGTATATATCATTTTGAAATTGGGTGTTGCAGCCAGAATATAAATAAAAATAGTAATTTCAAAATATACTGTATAGTTAGACACTGTCTCTTTTATGAGTTGCCTACAAAGACAAAAATATCATGCAGAAGACTGCAATAGCTCTCTTGGGAAAATACTCTAAAAAGTTAGGCTATTTCAAATTAGTTGTCTTAATTCTTTGCAGTTTAAGACATAACTATTTTTAATCTAAATTAAAATAGAAGTAAAATATATTTAGCAAAGTACTACCTAAACAGCATCTGGGTTCAGTATAAAGTCATTTAACAAATTTTTGAATTAAATCATTTCATGTAATACAAAATTTTAAAAGTACAGATATCACATTATTTAAATCATAATTGCTTTTAGACTAACTTTATAGAAATCTTTAATGAGGAAGGAACACATTAAAGTGGTTCAAGAAAATAAAATGGAGTGCATACAAGAATAGAATATATTTTAATGTGTAACACATCAGACACAAACTTTCTTTAAAACATGTAACGGTCCATATGTTAATTCTTTTGGAGCTGGAGAAATAGTTTCCAAGAGCACAGCTTTCACAGTTGAACATGGAGCAGTCCCAGTGGTTTAGTCAGGCAGCTTATATTGCAGATTCACTATCAAATATCTTACTCTTTAAGGTTTGTAGGTTGTGTTGAATAAAATTCTCGGTGCCCTGAACTTCAGAGAACCTGGAGTCACTTCTTCTAACAGACCAGTTTTTCATTTTTATTGAGTTCTGAATTGTGTCTGAAGTGAAGTAGTAAACAATGGGGTCAAAGCAACAGTTGGAAACAGCAATGCAGAGAGTGATTGGGTACATTGTCCTCACTGCAGCTACCACAGAGCAGTTAGCAAAGGTCTGTGTTCTCATGAGAGAGTATAAAATGAGGTTGATGTTATAGGGCACAAAGCAGAAGCAGAATATGACCAAGTGTACAAAAATCATTTTTAAAACTTTAGTTTTGTTCATTTTGCTTCTACTTAATGTAACAGGTTTATTTAAAGTTCTTAGCACCATACTAGAACAAGTGACGTTCAAAATTAAGGGGATAAAAAACCCCACTATTTCTATGAAAATCACAATCCTGGAGAGATAGGTTTTCCATGTAGCTGCTGGAAAGTTCTCAAAGCAGGAGGCTTCTGAGGTATTGTTACCCTGAGAGTGGGTCGACTGAAAGAAAACCGCGGGTGCGCTTCCTCCCATCACTGTGAACCACACAGCAATGCAAACAATCTTTGCGTTTCGCTTAGTTCTTAAAGTCTTCGACTTAAATGGGTAGACGATTGCCAGAAACCGATCTACACTGATACAGGTTAAAAACAGAATGCTTCCATACATGTTGGTGTAAAACAGCATTACTGAAATCTTACAGAGAAGATCTCCAAACGGCCAATTCCGAGTTGCAAAGTAAAAAATCCGAAATGGTAAAGTAAAGACGAAAAGCAAATCTGACATTGCCAGGTTAATCATGTACGTTGTAGTTTCATTTCTCACTTTGAGGGCACAGATGAAAATATATATCGCAACACAATTGGATATCAGCCCAAGCACAAACACCATGCTGAACATGCACCCATACAAAGTGTACTTAAAGGAGTCATCATAGGGGCAGTGGGAGCCGTTGGAGCTTACCATTGTCAGGCAGTACAGCTTGCAGGGAGTCCTTTTGTCTTCAGTGATCGCCTTTGGTATTCAGACGTGATCGCAGCAACCGCCAGTTTATTCGAAAATTGTTTCTTTTTGTGTTCTTACAAGTATTTTCTTCTCTGAAATCTTCAAAAGAAACATGAAACGTGTTGCTTAAAATTTTCTAGTAGATTCTTCAGGACAAGAGTCTCATTTTCTGTTCTCCAGAAAATCCATTGAGTCCAGAAGTTAGTTAACTGAAAATTCAGTCAAGAAAGCCCACCCATAGAGCCACAAACGTAAGGAAAAGCTGTGTTTCAAGTTGGACACAACAGTCCTCGTGTAAGCTTGTACTTCAGTCGTCAAGGTGAATATTCCAAAATTAAAATGTCCTCATGTTCAGAATGGTTAGGCATAAATTATCAGTCTTACTTCCGCGTCTTAATAATCCCAGTCCGTCGTCCTCTGGCGGGTCTTCCTTTCAGTCTCCGTTCTGGTAGTTCTCCATTGATCCCAGGTGGCGGTAGGCAGGGTCTCTTAAAGGTTCCCAAATAAATTCCTAAGCATGTTAGCTCTTGCTGAAGGAGGCCTTTCCGAGGTTGCCAGCTGTATTGTGAGATGGGCTGTCTCTGAAGTGAGCAAGAAAGGCTTCCTAGATTTGTAATGTGACATCACAGGAAGAAGAGGCTGGGTTTGGACAAAGGAAGGCTTCAACCAGTTGTTTGCAGTTCCTTTAATCTGATAACGTCTGTGCTGGGAATATACCTAGGAGGCTTGCAAATGGTCACTGGCTGTCCAGCTGAGCTAGGCGTTAACCCTTTTTGTGCTCAAATGCCTTCTGGGGATTCTGGCAACCTCTCCAAAGTGGTTTCCTTTGTTTTAATTAGTAATAACCAAGAAAGAGAAACATGTCAGTTTAAGGAGGCTTCTCTCTTACTGTTTTTGTATTTGGGATGTTTCCTTCTTTAAAGAAATAAAATGTAGATGGGTGCATATTTATAAATTGAAATCTTTAGTGATATGAGTGGACATTTTAAAGAAGGCAAGCCCTTAAAGTTTACATATAAAAAGGATTTGACTGAGAGACTGGCAGTTTTGGTTCTCTTGGCTTCTGGTTTTTGATTTTGCTTTTAATTACTTGTCAAGATTTAACTCAGTTGGTCTGGTTGTGAGTAGCTTTAATCCTGGATCTCTTTAGTTTTTAATAATCAATGTTCTAACATTTTTCTTTGAAACTGGTAATTTTAGAGCTTTTTCCATTTTTTAACACACCAAAGAATACATTAAGAATGTTTATTTTTCCTGGGGATTGTAACTCAGTGGTAAAAACAGTTTGGTGCAGTATTACTCTTATTTGCCCATGACTTAATATAAGCATATAGGAAAAGTGTACTTTTTAAAAAGGGCTTTTCCCCCTCTTAAATTTATTAAAATAACTTACAGAGAATCAAAGTTCTGCTACTTGCCTAAGTTTAGGTTCCTGACTTTTTTGTTTTGTTTTTTGTTTTTCGAGACAGGGTTTCTCTGTGGCTTTGAAGGCTGTCTAGGAACTAGCTCTTGTAGACCAGGCTGGCCTCAAACTCACAGAGATCCACCTGCCTCTGCCTCCTGAGTGCTGGGATTAAAGGCGTGCGCCACCACTGCCCAGCCATGACTTTTATTTTCATTTCTCATCTCTTCCTTTAGCCTCTTACACATGTTGGCTGAAGGTTGGGATATATTTCAAGTCTTTAATTTCTAAGGTTGGTTTTGTTGAAGCTGAAACTCTTCGTTTGTGGTCAGTTAAGGCATTTAAGAGCAAGTTTTTCTACACATGCCTTAGTTTAAATATTAAATTGTAGTCACATGTTCTATACCTTTTAATTCGGATTACTCTAATGCTCAACAGCTTTTTAAAAATTTTTTTTTCCAGTTTAAATTTAGATAAGAAACAAGGTTGCTTCACAAGTCAGTTCCAGGTCCCTCTCCCTTTCCCTCCCCTCCTCCCGTGCCCTCCCCCAACTCCCCTCTCCCTGTTCAACAGCTTTTGATGGTGAATTGTAGTCTGTTTTGACTAGGAATTCATCTGTGATCCAATGATGGAGTATTACTTAGATCCAGTAGTGACTGAGGGTCTAAATGTCTTTGTTTTGCTTTTGGTATGGAGCGTAGATATATATGTGTTCACATTAGAAGGTAGAAAGAACTGAGTGCAGCAATGAACAAAGGAGTAGTTGATAGCATATTCTTCTGAACTGGGAAAATTTTTTGTTAATAGTTATTTAAGAAAAATACAAAATTTGAGTGATCTACATCTATGTTTCCTTATTGTCATTTTTACATAAAATACACAGCTATATGTCCTGGTACTATCCACTTTCACTTTCATTTTGAAAATGGTACTTTCTCAGTTAAACTATGAAAATAGTTCCTATACTGGATCATTCTTCCACATATTATTCCTGTTTCTTAACTGTTATTCAGTTTTTTCATGTTTTAATAACTGATGCTTAAAATGGATATCCACTGTCAATTAGGCTTTTTATTATTATCAATAATATATGTTTGTATTCCAGAATCCTGGTATAAATCTTTACCCTAGTAAACACTGAAGTGTTTGCTTATGAGTGGATTATCATTCTTCAGAGTCTAAATTTACCAAGAAGTCAGGATGTTGGTGCCCTGCCCTATAACTCACTTCATTATTTTTTTCCCTTTGAGACGGGGTGAAAGGTTCAGGCATTACGCTGGCCTGCCCTGCTACCTGGCAGGATTCACTCAGGCAGTTCTCTGGCCAGCCCAGAGTTCCATGAGAACCAGTCTACATGTAGGTGCAAAGGACCCCTTTAAAGGACAGACCCCTGCCCACTTACTCTCTCTCCTCTTCTCTTCTCTTGCCTTTCTCAAGTCTGTCTCTCCCTTTCTGGCTCACTATAATAAACTATGGTTAACTTGCTCTCCATGGCTTGTGCTCCTTCTATCGCGCCGGTTCCCATCTCCTGCAACACTTTCTTTTTTCTAATTTCTAATCTTAAGCAAAATAACAACACAGGGTCTCTCACTGAACCTGGAGTCAGCCTTGCAGATAGATAGCCATCCCTAGTTTCCTCCTGTCTCTGTGCTGCACAGCTCTGAATAGGCACAGCCACAACCTGCTTGCACACCTGACTGACAAGCTTACCATGTGAGCCATTTCTCCAGCCCAACCATTCTTTTTCAGTTCTTCATGCTGCCTGTTTCCGCTTTTGCTAGTAATATCAATTGTGAATTGTCCCTTCATTCCACTACCACAATTTTAAATATACTCAGGCATTTTTACCTATATGAATATTATGTTTTATCTCCTTATTTCTAGTCTTCCTGTTTTTCACTTACCTCCAACCAGCCTGTCACAAATCAACTTAAGGAACCAAGTATAATTATTCATTTATTCTCTTGTTTCCAAGAATAATTTAAAGGAAAATAGAATATTTAAAATACATGTAGTGTGGCTAGAACTCAGTGGTTAAGAAAATGTGCTATTCTTACAGTGGACTCAGGACCCCCAGCACCCACTTGGGGGTGATTTACTAATAACTCCAATTCAGAGCATCTGACAGTCTCTTCTGGCCACATCAGGCATGAATGTGATACACATACATACATGCATGCATGCATGCTGGCACTCATACACATAGAAGTAAATAAATAAATCTTTAAAATATACTGTAGGCTGATTTTTAGGATGCTGTGGTGATGTGTAGATTACTTAGTAAAAAATAGTTGTAAGGGCTGGAGAGATGGCTCAGAAGTTAAGAGTACTGACTGCTCTTCCAGAGGTCCTGAGTTCAATTCCCAGCAACCACATGATATCTCACAACCATCTATAATTCAATCTGGTGCCCTCTTCTGACATGTAGGCAGAACACTGTATGTGTAATAAATAAATCTTTAAAAAATAGTTGTAAAATAGTTAATTTGCTAGATGTGGTGGCTAAAACTCCTGAGTGCAAGGATTAAAGGCATGTATCACCACATCTAGCAAATTGTACTCAGGAGTTCTAGGGTATCTTGGTCTACATATTAAGTTCTATGCTAGTCATAGCTCCACAGTGAAATCCTGTCTCCAACAAGAAGGTGCAGGTGCGCAGAAATGGTGAAGCCATCAAGAAGAGCCGTCCTGTTCTTACTGAGAATTCAGGTTTTAGTATCAGCACACACATTGCAACTTGCTACTGTCTGTAACACCAGTCCCAGGAGATCCAACATCCTTTTCTGACTCTGCAAGCATTGCATGCACTTAGTGCACAGATATACATGGTGGCAAAACACCCCTATGCAGGTAGAAAAAATTTATTTAAGAGATGCCGGGCGGTGGTGGCGCACGCCTTTAATCCCAGCACTCAGGAGGCAGAGGCAGGCGGATCTCTGTGAGTTCGAGGCCGGGCTGGACCGATAGCCTCCGAAACAATACAGAGAAACCCTGTCTCGTAAAAACCAAAAAAAAAAAAAAAGAGTAAAAAGAGTTAATGTGGGGGCTGGAAAGATGGCTCAGCGGTTGAAACCACAGATTGCTCTTCCAGAGGACCTGGGTTCAATTCCCAGCACCCACAAAGTAGCTCACATCTGTCTATAACCCCAAGATCTTACACCCACACATGGACATACACACAGCCAAAACACCAGTGCAAATAAAATATAAATAAATAAATTATTTTTAAAAATTAGTTAATGTGAGGGCTGAAATGTTATTCAATTGGAGCTCTAACCTTAATATGCATGAGACCCTGGTCTCAGTTTCCAACATCCCAGAAAATGATAAAATGAAATCCTGAAAATATGAGCAGTATAAGCAATACCATTCAAAACTAATTCATTTTAAAACTATACAGTTTAAATGCAGTGCTAACCAAAATAACATTTTAAATAATAAATTTATTTTCATAGTAAAAAATTAAAACCATATGGTAGTCTGAGATACAAGATATGAAATAATATTAGAGAAGTGTGGGTGAAAGGAATCTGATACAATTTATTTTAAAAAGAATGTGTTGCCCTTACTTAATAAACAGAACTACAAGAATATCCAAGAAAAGTTTCCTTTTGTCTCTGAAATGTACT